TCAGGTTTTTAGAGCCCGGCATCGGCACTTGTGAAGTAATTGGGACGAGTTAAGAAGCATTCGAGAGTGATTTCACAATTTTGGAGGTCACCGGGAGGTTCGTGATGATGTTTTGATGAAGAAAGAGCTATTGGATCGATCGTGGGGCCAAACGGGGACTTAAATGGGAACAAATCGAAGAAAATGAAGATTTAAGGCCACGCACAGCCGTGCGTACAGGGACGCACGCCGTGCGTGCCTGGCAGACGATGTAAGAAGTGGTGAGGTTTGACGCACGGTCGTGTGTCTGGGCACGCACGTCGTGCGTCCATGTTAATTTTGCGATTATGCTACTGGCAGCCACGCACGGGCGTGCGTGGGAGGACGCACGCCGTGCGTGGCAACTTTTGACCCGCGCCTCAATCGGACGCACGGACGCTACGCACGCCGTGCATATGCGCCGTGTGTACCCCGAATTTGTCCCAGCTCTGTTCGAATTCATCTTTTTTCTATAAATAAGGCCTTCCTAACTTTTTTTGGAGGTTACGAACATTACGGAGAGGCCTAGGGGCGATTTTATCTGCGTTTTTACTATTGTTTACTCCAAGAACCTGAGATTCTTTGTAATAAGTTCATCTTTTTAATTAATGACAATTTATTCTATTCATCTCAATTCTGTTGATTCTTCAATTATGAATTGTGAGTAGTTTAATTAGAGATTTGGGGTTGATGAAGGGGTTGATCATGATGTATGGCTAGATTCTTGATGGTTTAATTGCATGAATGCCGTTTAATTTGTGTTTGAATAATTTAATTGATATCTCTTGTAACCTAAATTGCAGCTAAAATTACAATTGCATGTAGAATAAATTAAGAGAGATGGCAGAGATCTAATTTGTTCTAGGACACATTCACACACACTTGATCGTTCGCTAAGAGATTAGTAGCGATTAAGGGATCGTAAGCTCGTTCGTCTTGGAAATAATTTAGGATCTTGTCGCATGAGAGATCAGTCTGGTCCCCTAAATTATTGTACTCTACGCCGCGAGAGCGGTAAGAACTTAGTAATGATTAGCTAGGCTCAATTAAATTAAATTCATGTAATTAGACCTGATCTGCCAGAAATCTGGTTACCCCGGAATCAATCCTTGTTCCCTTAGTCGTTAATTAGAAAGAAACCAAGCTTTTATTTTATTTTCTCATTCGCATTAGTTTAATTTCAAATCAACCAATCTCGCACAATTGCATTTTATTTTATTTTTATTTCTCTTTCATCGTTGAATTTAGTTAATCTTTAATTCCCTTTTGTTCGTCCCTGTGGAAACGATACTCGTACTTTCAACCACTTTACTACATCATTTTTAAGTGTGAGAAAACACACATCAATCAACTTTAAAGAAAATTGGAATGCATACATGATATGATATAAAAGAAATGTACATAAATTGTTACGGACCATTCTTTTCTTTAACGTGTGTTGACCATTATGACAAAATAGACCATTATGACAAAATAGAGCCCTTTTATAGTCATCTTTACTTGATGACTTGAACATCATATTGACCTCTCAACCATATTCACTATCATCTTTATTTGATGACTCAGACTTCTTACCGGTCCCTCGGACATATCTTCTGATCATCTCATTTGATATCGGCCCCATCATCTTTATTTGATGACTTAGAGATCATGATGGCCCCTTGGCCTATCTCCTGGTCCTATTTATTTGATACCTCGGGTTTTAAATTGATCCCCCTGTCATATCTCTCTAAAGTCTTTATTTGATGACTTGGAGCTCATACTGGACCCTCAATCGTCTCTTCTAGTCATCTTGACCATATTTATCCTAGCCATCTTTATGTGATGGCTATGACTACATATCATGGTGTACTACACATTGGACAAAGATGAAGCAAATGGAGTATATCAAATGCATCACACGATCATGGCTCACATCAGAAGATCGATCTTGGTCATCCCCTTAGCAGACGGTGATCGTTGCATCGGCCGAAGAGCTCAATCTTTGGCTTCATTTTGAGGGCATCTGGTATACTTTTTTCCTTCATTAGTATTTTTTACCACCGGGTTTTCCCTAGTGGATAAAAGGTGATGACCCTTAGCCTTTAGAGGAGTCATAAGGAGACATTCACTACTCTATCCCTCTTCACCTCACTATGATCTCCTCAAGGAGTGGGAGACTACGGGAACAAGAGACTTAATGCCTCCGCCACACACCATCATCAATATCACATCGTATGGGAGATAAGCACATAGATGTACTCCCTTTCGCCTCGAGTACTCTCGCCTTAGGGAGTGAGGGACTCCTGATAGTGTATATGAGCTCGAACCCTTGGTCATTAGATTATATTGGGCCTGAATAGTGGTCCACATACGTCTAGCAATCATCAATTGTATTATTGTACACTTGTTTTGAATGGAAAAGGCTTAAACTAATATCTCAGAAACTTAAATATGGCCACCACAACAATCACAACCAATCCAGTCACGATCCCAAAATTTAGACATAAAGTCAATCGCCCTTAAATGAAATCAGTAACTCACTAACCTCAAAATGAGCAACTTGCCTATAGTGCCTAACTGCTTCTCATATTGATCTACAAGCTAGATCTTGCTGAGTAGCCATGCGATCTCTTCATTCTTCGCATACCTGGGATTGAGCCGTTTAATTTTTTCAAACAACCGCACTATCAAATTTACATGCGCATTAATAGCGAACAATACTCGAATACATGCCCTCCTTCGAAGCAAAAGCAACGACAATGCCATAAAAGTACATTTATAATTACAATTTTGCTCTCGCTGCATGCAAGCAACTGAAAAGAAAATTATAGACTTCACATCCAAACCCTTCGGCGACTGAAGTCTAGTGGCAAAAATCAAACCCAAAACACATAAATGAAACTGAGAACAAAGCAATATGGATCAATCTCCATCGACCCACACAAATTCAAAGAGGCGGCATATAAAAACTCTACATGGTGAAGGAACAGTCCAGAGTTCTAAAGGATCAGAGCCGTACAATGTTATGTCATATATTCTTGTACACTTTATTTATCCAACTGTATCTATTGGATTAGACTTTTTATGTAGTTGGGGCTATCGGGTCCATATTAACGGCCTGACCCACATTTTCCTACACATACTCCCCTTGTGAGGTTTGTAACCCTAATTTGATAATTCTTTCATACATCAACTATTCATCATCTTCTTCATCCTCATCGCTCAGTCTTTCTCTAATAACATGTTTGGATCTCAATATCCATCATGTATACTACAAAGTGTAGACTTTTAGAATTCTATTGACTATAAATCCTAACATTATTGCACTAAATTTTAAAAGCGCTTAACTCATAATAAAATAACATAAACAATGACTATAACATATATATATATATATATATGCATTTGAGTTTAATCACAATTCTAATATTTTTTTTTGTTTTTCTAGCGGAAGTTATGGATCAAACATATAATTATCATCAAGAAGGGAGTGATAAACTATAATAAAATTCACACCACATTTGAATCCGGGGAAAAGGTCAATATATTCTCCTACTATTGTGAAATCAACATCTAAGTCAATGTACTGGAAAAGATATGATACATGCAATTACATTTACTACTAAAAATTTATGAATTTTGATATATTTCTTGTACCAATTGAGGTACAAATAAAAATGTTTTAGCATTTTGAAAAAAATTACGAAGTACGTATGTTTTTAAAGTATTAAATAATTTTTATTTTTATATATGAAACATTGCTTTCATATGAAAAATAATAAAAAATTATGAATTTTGATACAGAGTATATTTTTTGTAATAATCATAATATAATTAAAAAAGATATACCATATTAAAAAACAGATAATTTTTAAAGTGTTAAATTATTTTTGATTTTTATATATTCATTATTGGTGTCATATGAAAAGTAATACAAAGTTATGAATTTTGATATATATTTTGTAACCATTGGAATACAAATGAAAAAGTTATGCCACTTTAAAGAAAAGAGGAAATTTTATTTTGGGTGGGGCCATTACCTTATAGGAAGTACTATTCAACTATTGGCTTTGGTATTGCATGTTACGTGAGTTCTCTAAGAGCATCTTCAATGCTATAATCTGCACGGTGCACATGTGGAATGAGAAATAACCACACAAATATTAGTAAATAAATTATTTCTTTCCTTGATTGAATGATTTTATATAATTTTGGTAACTTTTTCATGACAATGTCAAACACAATGTCTACATCTAGACGGTCACCTTGACATTGAAGAGAAAAACTTACCAAAATTGTAATAATTCATTCAAATAAGGAGAAAGATAATTTATTTACTCATATTTATTTGACTATCTCACATGTGCACCGTGCACATTGTAACATTGAAGATGTTCTAACTTTAGTTTATTGGGGAGCACTAGTTTGGGAAATACTTTTAACCCAACATTAATTTGTTAAATATTTTTTTGTTTGACATTATTTTTGAAAAAAACTCTTATATCAGATCAAACTTTCAACATTCTGACTCAACGTACCTGCTCGTCTCACTTTCACTTCTTCCTTATCCTATTTTCCATACATCAGACCAAATTAGGATGTTTTCTGTTGGACTGTTTTCAGTCTCAGACCGGACTAGACCAAATCAGACAAGACTTTTGTAGTTATAAAATACATCGAGACCATACGTTTACCAGACCAACAAATTTCAGTCCAAAGGAAAACATCCTAGACCCAATCTAAATGAAATACGTAGTAATCCAAAACGCTTAAACAAACCAGCCAAACAATTTCAATTCAATAAAAAAAAAACCAGCCCAATTCAAAGAGATCACATAAAATGGATCATTTGTTCGTTCAGACGTAACCACGCCATCCGCCAACAGCACAGCTGGATTCACTCTAACATTTCAAATTTCAAAATTCAAAATCCAAAATCCGAACCGTTGGTTTTTTTTACACCGTCTGATATAACTCTTACCCTAAACCACCCTCTCTCATCCATATATAACCCCCTTAACCTTATCTCTCTGCAAAAGCTCCTCATTTCTTCTCCATCCCCATCTCCGATCTCTCCTCTTGCCATCCTCCCCTTCATCTTTTCTGCGGTTCATTTCCCTCTCCGCAACCGACAATGCGTGAGATTCTTCACATTCAGGGCGGCCAATGCGGTAACCAGATCGGAGCCAAGTTCTGGGAAGTGGTTTGCGCCGAGCACGGCATTGATGACACCGGACGGTACAATGGAGACTCAGATCTGCAGTTGGAGAGGGTGAACGTCTACTACAATGAGGCAAGTTGTGGCCGGTTTGTCCCTCGGGCTGTTCTGATGGATCTGGAGCCTGGAACCATGGACAGCATCAGATCTGGTCCCTACGGGCAGATTTTCCGCCCGGACAACTTTGTGTTTGGCCAATCCGGAGCCGGAAACAACTGGGCGAAGGGGCATTACACAGAAGGCGCTGAGTTGATTGATTCCGTTCTGGATGTTGTTCGCAAGGAGGCGGAGAACTGTGATTGCCTCCAAGGTATTTGATGAAATGATTTCTCCTTGTTTCCTTGACGTTGCGAAATGTAGATCTAACATGTTTTATGAAATTTGTTCCTCGCAGGGTTCCAAGTTTGTCATTCGCTGGGAGGTGGAACTGGATCTGGAATGGGGACCCTTCTGATCTCTAAAATCAGAGAAGAGTACCCTGACAGGATGATGTTAACCTTCTCTGTCTTCCCATCTCCCAAAGTATCAGATACCGTCGTTGAGCCGTACAACGCCACGTTGTCGGTGCACCAACTTGTGGAGAACGCCGACGAATGTATGGTTCTAGACAACGAAGCGTTGTATGACATTTGCTTCCGGACCCTCAAGCTCACCACTCCTAGCTGTAAGCTTTTCTCATTATTTCCTTTTATGATACATATCTGAATATCTTTGTGTTTTGATTAGGGTTTTAAAACTTGTTTTGTGCATCTGTACATGTCTTTAATTAGCTCTGCAAATTACATTTTGAAGTTATTATATTTATGACCATTAAAATGTTGTATCATTTCTTCCAGTTGGAGATTTAAATCACTTGATATCTGCAACAATGTCTGGTGTCACTTGCTGCCTCCGGTTCCCTGGGCAGCTAAACTCTGATCTAAGGAAACTCGCCGTTAATCTCATCCCATTCCCTCGGCTCCACTTTTTCATGGTTGGGTTTGCCCCTCTGACCTCCCGCGGCTCTCAACAGTACCGTGCCTTGACTGTCCCTGAGCTAACCCAACAGATGTGGGATTCAAAGAACATGATGTGCGCAGCTGATCCCCGTCATGGGCGTTACTTAACTGCATCAGCGATGTTCCGTGGGAAGATGAGCACCAAGGAAGTGGATGAGCAGATGCTGAATGTGCAGAACAAGAACTCTTCATACTTCGTTGAATGGATTCCAAACAACGTTAAGTCAACAGTTTGTGACATTGCACCTACTGGTTTGAAAATGGCAGCCACTTTCATTGGGAACTCGACTTCTATTCAAGAAATGTTCAGGCGTGTGAGTGAACAGTTCACTGCCATGTTCAGGAGAAAGGCTTTCTTGCATTGGTACACTGGAGAGGGAATGGATGAGATGGAGTTCACAGAGGCGGAGAGCAACATGAATGATCTGGTGTCTGAGTATCAACAATACCAGGATGCGACTGCCGATGAAGAGGCCGAGTATGAGGATGAGGAGGGAGAATACCAGGAGTAATGATCCCCACCCATGGAGTTGAGGAAGATGATGCATTTTTATGTTTGTTGAATTGTCCTTTTTTTTACCCTGTGGTTGTGATCTCAACTACCAGTTATCTTTAAGGTGATTAAGAACATTTGGTGAAGTTGAAAACAATTACTTCTATTTTGTTTGTTAATGGAAACTCTGTTTGTTGATGTTCACTTCCATTAGAGCATTTGTGTAATTAAGATCAATTTATGTTTGATGTGTTGTGCTTTGTGGTTTTTGCCCAGACTGTTGGATGATTACTCTTTACCTAACATGGGTTGTTGAGTTTAGCCAAATGAATAAGCATGTTACGTCTTTCACACCTGGTGATCTGCTTCTATTACGTCTTTGATTGAATGCAGAAAACAGGCCTCTTTGAACGAATATGGGCAGTTATTGATTCAAATGAACGAATTTGGCTCAATTGGAAATTATTGACTCATCTTGAAAACTGGATTGATTTAAATTTTACTAGGAGCAATACCGCCAATACTCCCTTATTTATCATTTTTGAGCAGTCCCTTATTTATCAGCATCCTCTTTATAAAATTACGCCATTTTCTTTCTTGAATAAAATATGAACATACAATTTTGTTTTTTCTTGATCATCCAACAAACATTAACACTTTCTTAACTTGTACTCTGCTAATTTTTTATTTTTACGCTATATCCATCATTTCACCTCTACTCTTTGGGGATTATCATACTTTTCTTGCTTTTTGAGGTTAAAATGATAAAATAACATTTATTCTCCTATATTTTCTTAAAGCTCATCAAATTCAAGAGTGTCTTATATTATGGGACGAAATAAGTACTCGCTGTTAGGGTGTTATATAAGATCAACTACTGTTATGTACTTTATATGTCCTTTAGAACTTCGCCTAGTTTGACCGGTATAAAGATTAATAAATTAAAAACTGTGTCATTGATATTTGTGTCAAAGAGAGAAATATCTGGAACTACAAATTCTTTACTTGAAATGAAAAGTGGCAAAGTTAGAACATCAACATCCATGCGATTATTTGGGGATCATTTTGATGATATGGAAAATCTTTCTGAAGATTATGATTGACAAGATGTGATTATTCTAAATGATTATGCTGAAGGAGTTGCTTGGTTTCTAGCTTTGCTTACCAAGTTTGGCATATATGGAAAGCTCGGAATGGCGTAGTTTCAACAACTATATCAGACAACTAGAAGACATAAATAGATTGACTCACTCTACTTCCTTGGAAGCAAGACTCTCACTTCAGAGATTGAAATTCGCGCGACAAAGAGGCCTACAATAGTCAAACGGTTACCCCGAGCATGGAAAATCTCAAATTTAATACCAATGGATCACAAAAAAAAAAAATAGCAGCGCGAGCGCGGGAGGTGTTGTCCGGAATAGTCATGGAGAGTGGGTCATATGATTTCTTTTGAATGTGGGAAAAACAAATAGCTTTAGCGCCGAGCTTTGGAGTCTCAGGCAAGGGTTGATATTGATCAGGGAAAAAGGGTGGATAAATGTGGAAGTGGAAATGGACTCTAAAGCAGCTATTCAGGATTGTCGAGCACTCCTTGAAAATGGTCATGGACTCACTCTACAACACACACTACGAGAAGGAGATGGATGCGCGGATTTCTTCGCCAAATGGCTCACACGGCCCCACGGGGGGCTTACAATCCTTAATACCCCGCCCGAGGAAATTGAAGGCATACTTTGGGTGGATGTCAACTTTGTTTGCTTGTTTTTTGCATTGCATTGTTTTATTTCTTTTCCGATGTACCAAAAAAAGTACTCCGTATCTTTTAATTACAAACTTCCTCGGAAATTACAAAAAACTCCATTAATAAACTAAATGAATATAGATCATGGTTGACGAGGAACTAGTAAGCTCTGATTTTATTAGGAACTAGTCAGCTCTGATTTTATTTATGTGGCAATGATATGGTAAGAGAAAAACATGAAAAATCAAACATTTAAAACACAGTTTTAATGGACGGAGAATAGTTTATTAGTACTTCAATATTTCGACATGTCACCACTCATATGGTAATAACAATGACAAATCTCGATTGAACGATTAACGCTAAAATCTTGATGTGTCACCTTACTATAAACTATAAAGTAAATGTAATGCTATAATTTGATAAAAGTTCTAAAAGGGGATACTTGATTAATTAAAAGTTTTTTTTGGAACAGATTAATTAAAAGTTATGAAATATATATAACGATCAGCATAGAATTGATAAAGAAAATGACTCTGGATAAACGAACAAAGCTAAAAAAAAATTGAATCAAGTAAAAAAAGTAATTCAAAAATTAAGAATAAAAGCTAGAAAAATAATAATGTGTGTTACAACAGACTAATGATAATATATTGGATCCCTATGTCACAGCCTCAAATTTGGTATATATAAGATTCATATTAAATAAAGTTGACAAACTAAATTGTTGAACAAACTAAATAAAATCTATTAAATCTATTAAAGTTGACAAGATTCAAATTTTGTGTGTTTATCTCTCTCAAATTACGTATATAGCATACATATAAATGCATACTTTAATAACTTTGTGACCTCGAGCACCTATAAGAAAACTGTAGTTATCTCCTTCTCTTCTTTTGTTTAACCATGGAAAAACTCTTTTTAATGAATGCTTTCATTTTATCCTATATTTTTCTTTCCCAACGTTGTGTAGAGATTTTGTAATCGGTGGCTTCGCCATGCCTGTCAATTTTATATTCCCCATGATCTTTGGCTAGATGTTCTTGTATGCGAAACTTGTACTCATCTTATCTCTTCATCAATTATGATCCGGATTTTCTTCCTCCCTAATATTGAGGCTGCTTGAGGCTACTCACCCCCTTCTCAACCACCGCCGTGTTAGAAAGATGACATTATATGGATTGCTTTCATTCTTGTGATTAGTGAAATCATAACAAATCCTGCATTTTGCTCCTTATCCGTCCGTGATTGGCGAAATCGGAGAGTTTCATTGTTTTTTTCGGTGAAGTCGGGATGCATGCTTTCTTTCCTTTACCGATGGCTCCTAAAGTCATTTGTTTTAATAATTATCTTTATCGCCGCACTAACTATCAATCTGAAAGTAGAGACTACATATTTGTGGGATTAGCGATTCAATGTTTTCCATTTGGATCGTATGTTTCTACTTTCTATGCCTCGTTCTATTGAAGGCCTTGAGCTATATTGTTGCAATTGTTCTTGTTTTTTTTCCCAATAATAATTAAGTTATTTTATTTTAAAAAATACTTGTGTGACACATACATAGTAGTGTATATAACTACGTAGTATATTTTACTAGGTGAACTCTTTCCATCTAACAACCCAACCGTTAAACCGTTTAATCAGATAATTTAGTCCATCACCACATACCCACTTTCAAGAAGGTTAATGTGATGCAAATCTAGGGTACGAAACCACCAACTGTACAAGTATATAACTGATGACCTGGAGCGTTACTTGCAATGAATGAAAATCGCGAGTGAGTGTAAAAAATTTCACTTTTAAAAACAAAATCAATGGAAGAGTGATGGAGAACCAACGGTGATGATGGTGGCTTTGGATGCCAAAAGTGATTGTCTGGTGGTGGTGGGTCGCATATTGGTCATAGCCTTCGAAATCCATGGTTGGCCTCATGGCATGTTTCTCGTTGGGGAGGGTGCGGGTGGGGTCATATAGGGTATCACGATTTATTTAGGGTGCATTATGATTTATGACTATTTTGTTACCCTAATGGCCTGTTTGTTTGGAGGTTTATCTAAGTTATTGCAGGTTCAATTTTTAGTTAATCTCGTTTGTTTGCGTTTTTGCAACAAGAACCTAGGTTATGTGTTAACCTCACTTAACTCTCGAGAACCTAGAAGCACCTTAAATCGAAGAACCTCCGAAACAGAGAGTTTTGGAGATTAAGTTCTCAGTTAACATAAAATGAGCTAGAGTACCTCATCCAAACAACATTTATTCCAGTAACCTAGGTTCACCATATTTATTTCCAAACACTATTTTACGCATAAACTTAGGTTCACTTAGGTTAACCTAGTTTTTATTAAAACTTATGTTTACTTTATTGCACTAGGTTTACTTAACTGCACTCTATCCAAACAGAGCATAAGTGCCCTGATGGATAGTGTACCCGGGGTAGCTTATCCGGGGGGTTATTATGAGAATAACCTAGAGAGAAGTCAGAGCAAACAAGTAAGAGAGAGAGAGGCGATTGTATTAATGAACTCGAGATGTTCTGATCCTTTACAAGAGGAATAGGGGCTGCTATTTATAGCAGCAGTAAATGCGATGAGAGTACACGTGTCAGTAATCCAACAGCCGAGGGGTCACCTCAATCGGGGTGGCACCGGCACTCGCATGTGCACTGCATTAAATGCGGTGGTTGGACGTGACGCCGCATTAAATGCGGTGGTTGCTTGTCTCCAAAGGGAATCTTCGACGATTGAGCGGTTAGCCGAAGGCTCCCCCTGCGGCCGAGGGCTCTGTGTAGCCGAGGGCGCTGTACAGCCGAAGGCTTCCCTGACGCCGAAGGCACAAAAGTGTCGAAGGCTCCCGACTTCTGCCATTTTCTCCCAGTAGCTTCGTACGCTCGAAACTGGCTGTGCCAAGTGTTTTGGAGCCTTCGGCCATGTTGCCGAAGGCTACCCCAAGCGCACATTGGGCTCCTTTGAGCTTGGGCCGCTGTGCTTTGGGCCTCTTGTGCTTCTTGGGCCTGCTGGGCCTGTGCTAGAGTAGTAGGAGTCTGTGGGCCGGGGTTCCCGGGCCATATACTCCATCATGCCCGTTTGGTGATCCTATTCCATATGTGCCAGTTTGGTGACATGGTGGTCCCACAAAAAAATAAAACTCATTTTATTTAAAAGTAATACGCAGTATAACTTTTTTATTCGTGCTCGGATTATTACAAAAAATACATCAAAATTCATAACTTTTTTATTAGCTTTCATATGAAACCAATATTGAATATATAAAACTAAAAAAATAATTTAACATGTTAAAATTATCTTTTTTTTGGAAAGAAGGACAAGTATTAGAGAACGGAGGGAGTATATATTTTCTATTTGTACTCCGAATGAAACAAAACAAAATATCAAAATTCATAGTGGGACGGAGTGAGTATTACGTAACATTTAAAAAGGATAATTTTAACGTGTTAAATTATTTTTTTAGTTTTATATATTCAATATTGATGTCATACGAAAGATAATAAAAATTATGAATTTTGGTGTATTTTTAATAATAATCAGAATACAAATAAAAAAGTTATACTTCCACCGTTCTTTTTTAATTGCAATAGTCCACTTTTTACGCTTGCCAACGCACAAATTTGACCGTTAATATCTTTCATTCCTTATTAGTAAACAAATTTAAAAAAAAAGATTTTGAAAATTTATTATGAGAGGAATTTAAAAAAAATTTTAAAAAAATT